CCCCCGAAAACATGGACCTAACAGGCACTGGCCCTGCTAGGCTCATCCCCATCTCCTCACCAATCACTCCCTCCTTACCTTTTGAAGATCTGCAGAGTCAGGGCCATATGGTAGAAAAGCTGACATCTTCTCAGACACTGGTGTAGCTGTTGCAAAAGCTTTTTGCACAGACAGCGGTGTGAGATCATCCCTCCAAAGACTTCAATCCCCTTTGCAAAAGCTTTTAGTGTGGAGCACGGAGTCCTGCAAGGGCATAAGATCATGCCCCGAAGGCTTCCGTTCTTCACACCAAAAGTTTTTGCAAAGGGGACGGAGGCCTGAAGTGCTCTTTCAGACTCACCAAGGCTGCTTGGCGCTCTAAAAGCGGATTGGGCGTCCTGCACAGGCAACCTCAGTGCATCAACCAAGCTGAGCAGAGCACACTTGCCCCACTCTGCCTCTTTCGTTATCACTCTGCTTTTGGAGCACTGAAGGCAAGCAAGAAAACCACACTGCCATGCAAATCCCATGGCAGAAAGGCTGGAGAGGAGACAGCTCATGAGAAAGAAGGAGCAGTCAGCCTCTTCTGGAACTCCTTGAAAGGCAAGTGAGTGATTGATAATGGGATGGGCGATTGTAAGCAGAACATGAGATAATCCTTGGGTGTTCAGAAGCAAGTGGCCTGTTCCAGCACTAAGCCCTCCATGGTCTTCCCCACCCTGAGATATCTCATGTGCACTTAACGGCACATTCAATTAACAAATGCATTGGGGAAAGCAGGAAGGGATCACATCACGTTCATTTAACATGATCAAATCCTTGGGTTACCAGTGTAATTGACAGGCACATTTGTAACTTGGGACTTACCCGTATATGGCATGTGTTGAGGAAAAATGAGATGCAAGTGTTAAAATAATGTATGCTATGGATGGGCTCTAGCTGTACAGAAGCCGACCATGTCACTTTCATATTTACAGGTTGCCACAGTTGATGGAAGTGGTACGATCCAACTATGAAGCCATGATTGATCGTGCTCATGGCGGTCCCAACTTTATGATGCATTCTGGGATCTCTCAAGCCTCAGAATATGATGATCCTCCAGGTCTGAGGGAGAAGGCAGAGTATCTCCTGAGGGAGTGGGTAAATCTTTACCATTCTGCAGCCGCTGGCAGGGACAGCACCAAAGCCTTCTCTGCATTTGTTGGACAGGTAGAACTTGGGGAAAGAGAGGTGCTTTTTTTCAACAAAACTATGACATAATGATTATGGAACTTGTAAAGAATTGTATATTAATTCTGTCGCATCATTGTACTAAATTCCATATTAAATAGTTTGAATGAAAATTACCTACTTTCATCATTAAATTATAAGCTTAAATCAGATGCAGAGCAAAAAATAAACAGTATGAAATAGCAAACAAAGCTAAGTCATGTAAAGTTATAAATAGAGAGAACATTTTACAGGATGCTAATAAAAACAGGCAGAAAGCAAGAGAACAAAGTTTGCTGAGCTTTGGTTAAAGTTTGCTGCCAACCATAACTGAATAGGTATTGTGGTGATCACTTTGGAAATGCCTGGCAGATCCTTTTCCCTTAAAGATGCTACTTTCAACACCCTTGCGTAGGCTGCTGCCTTGGGATCTTGATGGGATTATAACAAAAGGACCAAAACACTTCCACATCATTATTCAGTACCCAGATGAGCATAGAGTAACTCCAAGATTAAAATCAGACAATAATCAAGTGAACAATACCCCAAGGAACTGCCAAACACACCAACAGTAAACAGCCCCACCAAAGAACTTCTACAACCACACCAACACTGACAGGGTAAGCCACTAGAACCGTGATCGTGAACCTATGGCATGCGTGGGCACACGCACTGTCACCAGCTGCTCTTCTGGTTTCCAGTGCACGCATACATGCCAGCCATTGTGTGCGTTGGCGTGCCGGAAACCTGAAGACCAGCTGGCCAGTGTGCATGCATGCAATGGCTACCTAGTCTTTGGGTTTCCAGCACATGCAAAGACCAGCTGACCAGCATGCATGCATGCGCCAGAAACCCCAAAAACCCGACCAGTTACTCTTCAGCTTTCCAGGGCTCTGGCATGCGCATGCGGTTTGGGCACTTAGTGCTGAAAACGTTCACCATCACTGCACTAGAATATCAACTGAGAGCAAACCCCACTTCTTACTAGCACTGGTGATGTGACCTAGTATGGCAATGAAATGTCTGCAAGAAAACAACCAAACTCAGAGAATACCAAGGATCCCTGACAGTAATTGTCAGTATTGTTGGATGAAACAAATTAGACATGTTTGCAGAGAGACCCACCCTTGCCTGAATATATTTAATATCCACTGCTTCAGATTTCTCTTAAATCCACCTTTGTCATTTCATGCTCATCTATTACCTATTGGCTCAGAGCCCTTGTCTGAAGAGGGGTACTTGTATGCCTTGTTCACAGTTGGAATAGAGATAACAGAATAAACTGAACATTTAAGTTAAAAATTGCCAAGGAGCTAACAGAGTGTTTTTTAAAAACTTCAGAGATATAAGCTAAGAGATGTAAAGCAAAAACCCTGTCTTCTATACTGATTGACCTTGAACATTTTGGTGGTTTTTTTTTCCAATTTGCTCCAGTATAGATTGATTTTATGACATGTTTATATGAAATTTCCCCTGAACCCTCCAAAAAATAAGATTTTATTCTGAAATATTACATCTTCAAAGAATAACACTGTGAGATAAATATTAATATTTCAGACAATAAAAGACTAGTGAATGCTTTCTTAATGGAAATGATGGTTTCTTTTAGTAGAGCTCATGAACTCTCTAGGTTTCACTTGCTGGCATTGATAAGTATTACACCTTGCTAGCATTCCCTGAAGGTAATATTTTGTGCGATATAGTGAAACAAAATTAAGTTCTATACTTAAGAGGTCTGAAAATGTATTTGAATATGAATGTTTTATTACTGAGTCTACGGCAACAGTGTTAGTGAAGCTACCTTTCTGCTCTTTTTACAATGTATATATCCCAGGTGTGCTTTGTGGAAGATGACTTATAGTATGCATCAATCTAAGAATGAATTTATATTTATTTCTGTTGTCTTAGCTTTATAACTCCAGGATATTTAGAATCCATAGCCGGCCACATACTTTTAATTCCCTTTTCTCATTTATGTTTAAATGGTACAGTTATATATAATTAATATTATATTTGCATTCAGTTTGCAATGTCTGTCATAGTTTAGCATTAAATGTAAATAGAAAACTTTTTATGGAGTCAGATTCATTAGAATAAACAAATTTGGTATTGCTATTGAATAAGTTGACATTGAAATACTGTCATTGTCAATAAGTAGTTTGTATGTTGTATGCTTCATTCTGAGTGAAATATCAGTTTCATCAGTCTCTTGAGAGCATTCCTTACTATAAATGGTGCCTCACTTTAGAGAAGTGCTCAAGTTGCTTGTCACTCTTCCTTTCTCTTCATGGAAATGGGAATGGTCCTCTTGTCAGCAGGACTGACCATAAGGGCTGTGTTATCCCCACGCTATAGCAGGGTCCACTTGTCAGCAAAGCCATATCCATTTGGGTCAATCCAGGACATCTTCAGGGCAATGCCTTCCTTGATGCGATCCTTCCATCTTTTCTTGGGTCTGAGTGACCTTTCCTTTATCTTACCCCATGAGGGTATAGCATTAGGATCTCAACCAACAGGGCAAACTGACCTTGTGGGCCTCCCAGCCAGCACACAGCTCCACAGTGCTTGCCTGGTTCTTTATAACTGACATTGATAATGCACCCCAAGTGTTAATGTATAGCCTTTATTGTCATTGTACATCATGTATATAACAAAATTGACTTTAGCCTCACTGGTGCAATCCATGACAAAAAATACAAACAACATAAATAGTATAAAGAATAATGCCTATGCAAGTAATTAGGGAACCCAGTCATATGTTTCCGCCTGTGCATAAAGTGATTGTGGTTGTGTTTTAAGAATCTGAAAGCCCAAGGATAAAAACTATTTTTAAACCTATTTGTTCGGCTGGCTATGCTTCGAAGGTAGAAGTGCAAAGAGACACTGACCAGGGTGTGAATAATCTCTGAGTATCTTCCTTACTCTGCTAAAGCAGCGACACCTAGTGAGCAGAATGCTGAGATTTAATCCATCATTAGCCAATTATACTCACGGCCTTCCAACATGTTCTGTAGAACATCAGTACTACTTTGTATTAAAAATACATTTTGTTAAATATGAATTCATTGCCATCCCCAAACAGATGCATCAACAAGGAATCCTGAAAACTGATGACTTGATCACAAGATTCTTCCGTCTTTGCACTGAAATGTGTGTTGAAATCAGCTATCGTGCTCAAGCTGAGCAGCAGCACAATCCTGCTGCAAACCCCACTATGATCCGTGCCAAGTGCTATCACAACCTGGATGCCTTTGTGCGCCTTATTGCACTCTTGGTGAAGCACTCTGGAGAGGCTACCAACACAGTCACAAAAATCAACCTGCTTAATAAGGTTAGTGGTGTCCTTATTTTCCCCAGATGATAAGCTGTGTGGGGAGCTATAAAACATTGACATTATTCCACTAACACAACATGGTGTTACAAACACGAAGTGTATAAATTGGTACTGCATACCTACCTGTTGAGAAATTCAGTGTTTCTGACCCTTAGCCTGTGGAATACTGGCATACTTGTATGGATTGCTATTAGATAGTAAATGTTTTGACTACTTAAGGAATATATTTATGAATATGAGATGAATTTGTGCTCTGTTAAATAAGGGAAAAATAAAAGAATGGATAAGTACTTAGTCACTTTGCCATAGATATCTACAACCAGATAAAGGGGAAATATTCCCCCAAATAAAATATTTTTAACATTTAAAAATAAAATATTCCGTAAACTATTATTTATAAGGGTTTTCGCTAATTCTACCTTTGTAGAAGGTAGAATTTCAAAGTGATTTTATCACATGCTGAGTCAATTCATTCCTTTGCATTTACAGGTTCTTGGGATAGTAGTGGGAGTCCTTTTACAGGATCATGATGTTCGTCAGAGTGAATTTCAGCAACTTCCCTACCACCGCATTTTCATCATGTTACTGTTAGAATTAAATGCTCCTGAACATGTCCTGGAAACTATCAACTTTCAGACCCTCACAGCTTTCTGGTAGGTGTAGAAGAGCCCCTGAAAACAGACAGCATGTGGCAATAAGCCAGAGTTACAGGGCTGTCTCTTATAAGCAGGGGAGATGATGGGCAGAAGTGATCAAATGCTCCTCTTGTGCTTACTTACTGTCCCTCAGTAAGTAAAGATTCATTACTCAAACCACTCTATTAACCAAATAGAAACCAAATGGAAAGGCATTTGTGGAAATATAGAAATAGCAATATATGAAAAGCAAGTCTGATTGGTATATTACAGATGGTTTTATGGACCTAGCAATTAAAACAAGTTGCAATACTGGTAGTCCTCAATTTACAACAATCGGGACCAGATTTTCTGTTGCTAAGCAAGCCATTGTTAAAGTGACTCATGCCTGATTTTACAAATTTTTTTGCCACGGTGTCAGCCTCTGCTTTGCTGCTGCTTCGGCTCATTGAAAAACGGGGAGGGGGGGGCATGGTATTTGGGAGGGGAATCATTATTGTGCTGGAGGAAGTTTCTAGACTCTGAGCTGACCACCTTACTGCGCATGTGGAAGAAAGTTTCCCGCCAAGGCTCACGGTCCGGCATTCCATCCTGATGAGACTTTTTGAAGTTATCTCCCACCTGACAGTTGGGTGCATTATAATTGGACTATGTACAGGGGTGCCAAGGGGAGGGCATTGAATTGTATTTGATATTATCCGCTTTCGCGCCTAATTAACCAGACTCAGCTTTGCTTTGCAACTGTTCATTTATAATTAGTAAAAGTACACTTGATTTCAATTCAAATGGAGTCCAGTGGTTTCCTTTCCTGATTACTAAATGAAGTCAATGCTGATACACGGTTTTTGAATGAATCAGTTGTTGAATGAATCTCATCATTAAGGGAAACCTTTGACTTTGCTTGTCAGAAGCCAGCTAGGAAGGTCACAATGGTGATCATGTATGCTTGGAATGCTGCAACCAATTTACATACATGCCGGTTGTCAAATGCCTAAATTTTGATTATTTCAGCATGGAGATGCTGCAGTGGTCATAAGTGCAAGAACCAGTCATGTCCCTTTTTCAGTGCCTTTGTAACTTTGAGCAGTCACGAAACTGTCGGGTTATAAGTTGTGGACTACCTTTCAATGCACTTTTATTATGAGTGCCTCTTAAATAAAGAGATAGTAGATTTAATTGCTTTTGAGTCAACTTCATTTCTTAGAGAATGACTTAGTATGCTTTTAAAGAAAATTGTATCTATTTTAATCTATATGTTGTGATCTGATAATACTGATATAATTTGGAACATAAGGTCTTCAAGAGAAGGAATAATTTTTTAAAATACCTTTTTCCAGAGACCATGAAAATTGATTTCTGAAATTTCTGGTTTTCTCTTTTCATCTAATGATATTTACATTTCTATGGTATAATGTGATATAAAAGTCAGCTTTTTATTTTTAGAAAAAGCTATTTATATCATAGTTTCCATTTGTTGCTGTTATTGATGATGATCTTAGATTATAATGCAGATTTTTAACTGGTTAATATTTCACTGATCACTATATTTTTATTTTAGCAATACATTTCACATCCTGCGACCTACAAAAGCTCCAGGTTTTGTTTATGCTTGGTTAGAACTGATCTCCCATCGGATATTTATTGCAAGGATGCTGGCACATACACCACAGCAGAAGGTGTGATTGTAGTTTATCTTTTCTTACTTATGAAGCTTTGGCAGAGTATCAAAATGAATCTTGGTTGTAGATTTGGGTTATATGACTGTATGATGTTTAATATAATTACTTCCTATCTTTCCATAAGACAGAGATCTCTAATCTTGGGAACTTTAAGACTTGTGGACTTCAATTCCCAGAATTCTCTCAACTCTGGGAGTTGAAGTCCACAAGTCTTAAAAGTTCCCAAGGTTGAAGAGCTTGCCATATGGAAGTAGGTTAGAAGTTTAGTTTGTTCGTTTTAAGATATCAAAACTCAATTTTGCTTCATGGAAGCAAGTTAAATCATAAACAAGTTTGGTCATGTTTTCATTCTATATGTTTTGTACATATAGAGCCCATTCATAGAAATTAACTGTTTATACAGGAACAAGGCCTTCTCAACAGACCTGCCAGCTTGAGGCTGGACCAGCTCATCCCCTCGGTAGCACATCTTTATCTGTTCAGTGGACTAGGAATGTTCTTTTTCCCTGCAAGTTGTTTTTAATAATCATCATAAAAAGAAGAAAATAGCAAAAAACTAATACAACAATGTATAAAGAGAGGCATAGAATCTAAATCACGTGAAGTATTAGTACCACTTTATAAAGCCTTAGTAAGGCCACACCTGGAATACTGCATCCAGTTTTGGTCACCATATTACAAAAAATATGTTGAGATTGGAAAATGTATAAAGAAGAACAAGTAAGATGATTAAAGGCCTGGAGACTAAAACACATGCAGTTTTAGTTGCAGGATTTGGATTTGGCCAATCTAGAGAAAAGAAGGACTAGGAGTGACATGATAGCAATCTTCCAGTATTTGAGGAACTGCCACAAAGAAGAGGGTCAATTTATTAACCAGGAGGCAGGACAAGAAGCAATGGAGGGAAACTAACCAAGGAGAGAAGCAACCTGGAATTAAGGAGAAACTGTCTAACCATGAGGACAGTTAAGCAGTGGAACTGCTTGTCTTTAGAAGTTGTGGGTGCTTCAATGCTGGGGGTTTTTTAAGAAAAGACTGGACAGTCACTTGTCTGAAATGATATAGGATCTTCTACTTGAGCTGGACCAGAAGACCTCCAAGGTCTATTCTGGTTGGATTGATTGAAGGATTATATGCCATTGAGATAAATGCATAATGGATACCTGTAACCTTTTATTAGAATTTGCAGTAATTCAACCAGCACACAAGTAAATAATTCAGTAGGATTCGTGTATAAAAGAAACATGCTTATATACAATAATATAAAGCATTATGCATTTATACAATACCCTTGCAGCAGAAGCCAGAACTCACAGAAGCACATCACAGAAGCACTCATATACAGTATATACAGATCAGTGAACCTAAGCCACACGCAGGCTCTGAGCCGTCTGGGTCACCAAACAGTCTCCTTTGGCTGACCTTTTATTAATTTATAGAATGCCCTTCTCGTGACTAACAACAAAGCAAAATCAATAAAATAAAACATTTAAATATTGAAATAATAAATATTAACATTAAAATTGACTTTAAATTAACGAAGATGGCAAAGGGCTCCCAAGAACTGAGCACAAAGTTGAATTTTGTGCCAACTGTAGCTTCTCTGTAGAGTACTCTTCTAGGGTAGCCCCATGTAGAGTTTGTTGCAATCGTTAAACGTGAGATGACCTGAGTGACTGAGCACAGGGATTCCTAATCCAAGAGAGGATAAACTGCATAAAGGCTTTCCTAGCCACAACTGCTACCTGCTCTTCGAATCATTGCCAGGCGGTTGCTGTGCAAGCGTGCCACACAAACACTTGACACAGCTGTGGGGGAAAAGGTTTGAAGACCACAGAATCTATGTTTATCTATTGACCTCCACGTCATGCTGTCAGCTTCAAATTATTAGAAAAGTTCTGGGATTTCCCATGTTCTTTCCCAGCACCATTCAAGTGCAACACTGAAGAAATCAGTGGTCAAGTGGTCGCAACCTTCATCCTGAATAAGATAGAATGGATAAAGGCTGCATGTTAACCTCCCTCAACCAGATGCTGGGAATCAGACCATCTTCCTGTGTCATTCGGCCCCTTATTCCTGGCACCTTTCAAGATCAAGACCAAGACCATCAAAATCATCTCTCAGTCCTCCTTAAATTGAGACTTTTAGGCCCCAGGTTAGTGTTCTTTAGTTAAATATGGAAAACAGCCCCGCTTTGCTCTCAGCATAGGCTTCCTAGGAATCAAAGTTACTTTGCTTTGAAATGAGAGAATTGTGCTTTGAAAGCTGCTGTGGTTCTAGCCTTAGTTCGATTTGTACTGACACATGATGCTGAAGCAGGGACTTAGCAAAGGATCATGAAAGAAGTTTGCAATATACTGTAGCAAAGTTTCTTGGTTTTTCATCCAATATAGGACAATGCTATATTCGATATAGCCATTGAAGTAGACCTTCTGATATGCTTTACTGTAGCTCTTTGGGCAAGTTTGACAAAAATATTTTTAATTTCCTATTATTGTACGTCTGTTGTTGATTGTTTTATTATTGTTATGTTTACTCTTTTTTTTTTTTTTACTTTTTTCCATTTTATTGTTGTAAGCTGCCCGGAGTAGGAAATAAATTTAACATTTATTAAAACAACCCAGGCAAACCAATTCATTGTTTCACTTCCCTCCAATGTATGCTTTTATATTGGTTTCTGAGACCTTGAAGATCCTTAGAATCTTCCTGATTTGCTGTTGAATAGAAGTTGTTTAATCACTGGAGTTAAATGGAAAGTGTTGGAAACATACTAACAAAAATGGCATTGCTCTCATTCCTTTCTTTCTCTTTCTAGGGTTGGCCCATGTATGCACAACTTTTGATTGACCTATTTAAATATTTGGCTCCTTTCCTGAGAAATGTGGAACTTGCCAAGCCTATGCAAATTTTGTACAAGGTAAATTAGGAGACAATTTGAAGAGGGGAAGAAGGGAAATTGGAATAGACCAGAATAAAGTAGAATGGCTAGTTAATTCCTTTAACAAACTGAAGTAGTTAACAGAATGCTTTTCCTTACAGTTTCCCATGTAAAGATTGCTGTATTACTTGTTTACTGTTGTTTAAAACACACACTCTTAAATCTAGTTGAAACCAAGGAATTTTAATGCACATATGATCTGAATGCTCATTAATGCCACTTGTAATAAAATTAGTTGATTACAGTAAATTCATCAGTGATATTTCTAGGATTTTACCATTATGACTGATCATATGACTCATTGGTAGAGTCCATATCTTTTGACTTTCAGTTTGCAAAAATTATGAACAACTCACTCCTACTAGTACCTCTCATTTATCAGCCAGAAGACTCTAATCCAGGAAGTCTCCACTGGCCCTTGCACAACATCTGCCCAGCAACTTTAACATCGATTCCCAATAGAAAGCCAAATGGGTTGCCAAACACCCAGACATAGGAAGGCATATAAAAGACGCCACAAAAAAGGGGCCAGGCTTTGAACTACATCAGCAATGGACAATCCTGAATAGGATTTGCACTTCACAGGGTGTCTGCCGGAGCTCTTTCACACTGTAGATCACACCATGACTGGCTGAAAGCTGAGGACATCTACAGTATCTGATATTTTAATATAAATGATGCTCCGCTTCAGTGGTTAGATGGCCTAGACATTGGTATTTCAACATAGATCTTTTTAACATTTATATGAAATGTTAATATATATTGCTAGTCTGTGTGACATGCCATATGCTAAATAAATAACTGCAATTCTGCTATCTCTCACACTTTCTCTCATGATAGATGGGTAATTTCTCCTCTTAATGTTCCTATTCATAGGGGACACTGCGTGTGTTACTGGTATTATTACACGATTTCCCAGAATTCCTTTGTGATTACCACTATGGATTTTGTGATGTAATTCCTCCAAACTGTATTCAGCTAAGAAATCTGATTTTGAGTGCCTTTCCACGTAATATGAGGCTTCCTGACCCCTTCACTCCCAATCTTAAGGTAAGATACTTGGTACTTTCATTTTTTTTAAAGATATTTATGTATTAGGATTTTATTGTTTCATTGCTGGAAGCCATCCAGAGTTGTTTGTTATGAGATGGGCACCATTCAATAAATAAATAAACTGCAAGTTCTGTAACATTGACAGATTTAAGACTGGTGTTGCAGCTAGTTCTCATGTAGTAATTTGTTTAGCAACCCTTCACAGATAAGACAGTGATTCTCACATTTACAACTTTGACAGGCCTATAAAGCAGGAGTCTCCAAACTTGACAACTTTAAGACTTGTGGACTTACCCACCTCGGAAAGCAAGCCACATTAATTTTCTTGGATGCCCAAAAAGCTTTTTATAATATAAATTGGAGGTTTATTATTTTACGATTGGGAGAATATGAATTTTGGGGAGAAATTCTTAAAGATGGTGGAAAAAATATACACAACCCAAAAAGTTAAAGTAGTAATAAATGTCGATACCACCAAAAAAATTAATATTGCAAAGGGGGTAAGACAAGGTTACCTGTTATCACCTCTATTATTCATTCTAACCTTGTAGTTATTGTTAATAAAAATTAGAGTTGACCAGGAAATAATGGGCCTGAAAATAAGAAAAGAAGAATACATCAATTATCAATTGCTGTCAGCCTATAATCCATCTCCACTTTTTTTCTCTGTTATCCCAGCCTTTTCTTCCACCTTCTGCAGCCTCTGCTCATTTTTCCCCATCATTTCCTTGACTTCTTTCAATTCGTCGTCTTCTTTGCCCTCTTTCTCTTCTACTCTGTTTATCTGCTCCTTGATATCCGCATGTATGTCTTGCAACATACTTTTTAGCTCCAAAATAGCTTTGTCTTGTTATGTTCCTATGCCTGCTGATTTCTGTGTCAAAGGCGGCGGGGTGGTTGTTGCAGACACATGTGATGTTATTTTCTTCATCTTGGTATTTGGATCTGACATTGTTGTATTTAAGTTGTAATCAAGTTTTGTAATCCAAAAAATAGGTTAGTAGATTAATTGTAGTCCTGGAGTCGCCCACACCGGCCCAAGCACCACGCCCCCTGTTCTTGGGCCCCGTCTTCAGGTTCTTGCTACCTTAATCTATTTGCTTTATAATGGCCACATGAAGTAAAAAAAGGAAAAAAAATAGGGAACGGGGGAAAAAATACACATTAAAAAAATATTGGTCAAAAGGCACTCACCTCCCCCCCCCCCAAAAAAAATGGGGGAGAAAAAACCTCCGCAAAATTAATTCCATAATGGTATAATCTACACCTCATTGCAAGAGGTAAAAAAAAATGAGATAAAAAGATAAAAATTGGGCAGGTAAAAAATGACCCAACGTAGCCAAATGAATAGAGAGAAGGAAAAAAAGAGGAACCTTTAGTATGAGTTGTCTGGGTTATCCAAATTTCTTCCCCCCCCCCCTTAGGAAGAAGGGGAAGCACACACTATCAGGAAGGCAGTTTCAGCAGCCCATTATAATGTAGTAAGGGAAAGCAGGGTAATGTTTACACAGCTGGTTTTATTTATTTCTTCTAAAGGACTTTTATCAGTTCCTTATTATCCACAATGTTTTCAAGGTCAACTCTTCTTAGGCATCTTTTACTGGGTACTGTTTGTTACTAGACAGCAACGCAGACAATTAATTCAATGTATTTTCTTTTAAGTTCCTGGCTTCGAAAGCAAATCTAAGCGATTCTCAAAAGTCACCAAGTTACCAAGAAAATCCTAGGCATAGAGTGAAAGTTAAACACCAATGACTTCCAATTCGCTTTCTAACATCCTTAAGCAGTTCTCAAGATCTGTGACTTCCTTTCTTCTATCTAACGGCTCCGTCCGTTGGCTGCTGACCCGAGGGAGGGAGAGCAATGTCCGCTCCCCCCCTTTCTTCTGCCACGCTACAGCTGTTGAAGAGACAGGAAACCTTAATGTGAACTGGACTGGACTAATTTTAAAATTGAGCAACAGAATCTGGAAGATCCTAAATTTGCAACTAAATGTGGTATAACCCAAAAATTTAAAAATCTGTTAAAATAGTTAAACTTGCATAATGGAGATTTGGATGTATGAAAAATTATTCCTGATGCTGAAAAGTGCACATGAAACATTAATTGGTAAAGAAAAGCTAGGAAATCAAAGGGAACATACAGAACAAGAAATAGAGGACACAAATTAGGTAAAGGAAGATAAGTTAGAAAAAAGAAGAATTGAAAATAAAATGCAGATAGATGATTTCACTAGGATTTACAGTCACAAAGGAAAAGTAGACAAAGGGGGAGATCTCGCAAAAAAAAACCCCACAAAATAGTAAGGAAAGGAGGAAAACAGGGAAAACCCTGGGGAAAGTTACTAGAATAAAAAAAGTAAATAGTCTGAAGAAAAGATACAACAACCACAAAAAATAGGGAAAAGAAGAAGTTAGGGGAAGGGGAAAAGGAGGAAAAGAATTAAAACTGGGATTTGGGGAGCCCAGGAGAAAATGATTAAAAGAGGAAGAAGGGGGGGGGATTACATTAGTAGACTCAAGAGAATAGTAGTAAGATTGTTATTGTTATGTAATTAATTAAGAAACAAAGAAATGATAGTATATTGTTAATGGTAGAAAAAAATTGAAAAAATGCTCTCTATGCTTAAATTGAATTAGAGAAAGTATGCTGTTTATAGCAAAATATATCAATGGAGAAAATAAGAAATGAAATGTTGGTGTAACTTTGAAAGGGAAATTGAAGATATTGTTTATGTATTAAGAAAAAATAACTATAAAGATGAAAAATGATGGAAGAGAATAATTCATCTGAAAGTGAAAACAAAACTGTGATATAAAAAGAGGATGTAAAAGAAAAGACCTGGACAACTCTTTGTTCCTATAATATGTATAATTTGTGTTAAAAAATAAGAAACCTTGAATGGGGAAAAAAGAACGTCTCAGCACCCCTGGATGAAGTGCAGTTGTTACAAGCCTCGAGATCTAAGGAGCTCAGGGGGTCTGCGCAGGGAAGGCTTTTGTCCTGAAGAGCAGGAAGCAACCAGTGGTTTTGAGATGCCTGAAGGACCAAAGCAGCCATCTTGCCATTTGGATAATCTTGTCAAAGAAACCTTGCTTTTATATCCCAATGGTCACATTGGAGACGTGATTAAAAGATTCCTATGGCTCTTTAAACTTTCTCACAAATATAGGAGTAAACTATGAATTAAAATATTGCTAAAGGAAAAGTTGACATGCCTTGTGTATATATCAGGTAGTCCTTGATTTATAACTAAAATTTCCATTGCTAAGTAACACAGTTATTAAGCTAATCTGGCTTCTGCATTTACTTTGCCTGTCAGAACGTTGCAAAAAGGATCACGTGATCCTGGGACGCTGTAACCATCATAAATGCATGCCAGTTGTCAAGTGTCTGAATTTTGATCACGTGACCATGGAAATGCTTGAACAGTTGTAAATGTGAAAAAATGATCATGTCACTTTTTTCAGTGCCATTTGCAAGTTCAAATAATCACTGAATGGTTGAGGACATGCTAACTGCAGTCTTTTAGACAGTGCTAAAATTGTTGGTGCATTCCTGACAGGTTGACATGCTGAGCGAGATCAATATTGCTCCACGGATCCTCACCAATTTTACTGGTGTGATGCCACCTCAGTTCAAGAAGGATTTGGATTCCTATCTCAAAACTCGTTCTCCAGTCACATTCCTCTCCGACCTGCGTAGCAACTTGCAGGTGAGACCTTTGTCAAGATCAAATTTGTAGTGAGTGGTACTAGACATTTGCTCTCAGGATACAGATGGGTGTTTTATTAAGCAAGTCTAATTCCTGGGACAGTCCCTCACACTTCAGACCCGCACCCCGCCCACCTGGACATTTTTTTAAAGCCAGCAAGGTTTAGGTTTTACTGCATTACATGCTTAATATGTCGCAGATATCACTGTTTTTAAAATATTGTATATTTAAGTTGTAGAGCTCTTGCTTGGTAGGAAAAGCATAGAAACTGCTCACTCCCAGAACTTTATCAAATTTCACTCTTCCTTAGAATGATGAATGATTCTCTTCCCTTTGCCTTTGTTCCACCAGGTATCAAACGAGCCTGGCAATCGTTACAATATTCAGCTGATCAATGCATTGGTGCTTTATGTTGGTACACAAGCAATTGCACACATTCATAATAAGGGCAGCACACCGTCCATGAGCACCATCACTCATTCAGCCCACATGGACATCTTCCAGAACCTTGCTGTTGATCTGGACACAGAAGGTAATCCAGAAGCAGGAGGGGGTTCAGGAACAAAGCAGCCAATATGATTTTACGGGTCATGAAACCATCCTTTATTAACTAAGCCTCCAGAAATGGTTTTTATTTAACTACAACTATTTCACAACTAGAGTAAGTGACAACTATTTAACTTATACTGGCCACAAGGAGGATGATTATTCTCATTCTGTTTGGGACTCATGTGAACCCTCATGCGTGAGGACATGGCATAATGCAATCCACATCCCTCTCGTTTGAGAGGTTAAGAAGAGAAAGGTGGGCTGTAAATAGCATTCTAAAGAAAGAGAATGTTGACAAATTAGGCATCATTTGGCTGCTTTTTCAGAATATTTTGAAGGTGACCACCAGGGGAAATTCCAAATAGTGGGATCACCATAGACCCCTTCTTCCAGTAATATGGAGAGACATTTTTAAGTCTTCTGGAGCAACCGCAGCCTCAAGTTGCTCCTTTAGATTATATCTGAACTGAACTAGGCAGAAGTGGAACCCCTGAATAAACGCTGCCAGCTCCTGCAATGACCCAGCAGGATGACATGGCCATGGGTAGTCAAGAGGGGCACCTTGACTACCTCATGACTATTCTGAATTCTGATTGACAGGAATCCAGATAGTCTGTTTCCCCCACAGTCCCCATCAATATCTATTATCCCCCAAAAGCATGGAGATTATTATAAGTGTTGCAAAGTACAGGACCTGGGGAAAGTAGCTTCTTTTAGGGGTCCTGACTGAGAGAAGATGATCCCTTAGGTAACCCAGCCTCCATCATGAAATGCCCCCTGAAACATGCTGGATAGCAATGTAACTCACAAAATTGCATGTATCAAAACCCCAACATTCTTACTACCCTTGCAGCCAGTGACATGCTTATGGCCAAAGAAGCTTCCTCTGGCAGCCAACCTCTTTCCTGGAGAATTTGTTGGCTTTCCTTGCTCCCTGCTGAGACTAGAGCAAAAGCAGGGCCTCTCTGGACTGCCTGTGCACAGCTGGACACCAGCATCCTTTGTTTTATAATCCCACACAAAATGTTTGTTGATGGTGGGAAGAATGGCTGACTCATTTGAGTTGTGTAAACCTGGCCAATTTTCTGAGCCTCTTCCCAGTTTGCACAAAATATAGGGCACCACACTTTGTGCACTACATGTTAGACGAAAGCAAACCTGTCTTTTCTGTCATTTTTTCTTGGTGCTCCATTCCAGGTCGGTACCTCTTCTTGAATGCAATTGCCAATCAGTTGCGGTATCCCAACAGCCACACGCATTACTTCAGCTGCACCATGCTTTACTTGTTTGCAGAAGCCAATACAGAAGCTATTCAAGAGCAGATCACCAGGTACTGTTGAAAATGAGCAGAAGATATGAGACTCAAGAGATAAGCAGGGTTTTACCCCTCTGCAGGCCAAAAGTTGCACAAAAAAAAATCTCCTTAACCAGAAAGCCAGATTATGCCTGTTAGGTTTTAAGGGGAGCGCAAGCTCCAGATCTAAAATTAAGATGTTGACAGTCACTGCAGCTACTTTAGTGAGCTATTGCTGTTTACCCTAAAAGGCTTTGTAATTGTTTCTACTTTTTGCCTTTTTTCATAATTTTATCTTGTTTTTTTTTTACAGGGTTTTGTTAGAACGACTGATTGTAAATAGGCCTCATCCCTGGGGTCTCTTAATCACCTTCATTGAATTGATTAAAAATCCAGCATTTAAATTCTGGAACCATGAGTTTGTTCACTGTGCTCCAGAAATTGAAAAGTGAGTAAATTTGAAGCCTCATGACTGTATTGGGAGAGTAATCTATTTATCTTGAAATTAAGTCCTTCCTCCTTGTTCTAGGCTGTTCCAGTCAGTCGCACAGTGTTGTATGGGGCAGAAACAGGCACAGCAAGTAATGGAAGGAACTGGAGCCAGCTAGAAAAAGCGAACTTTATGGGGATGGTGCCAGCCTGGAGCTTTGTATCAAGCTGACAGAAGAAAATGGGTGGGGCTGCCTTCCCTCCCCCCCTCTTGGGCTTAAACCATAGGTCTTTTGGCCTGAAATCTCCTCCTACGTGGGCATGTTACAAAGTTGAAAACAAAGTTTCTCATTCTTGGCCAAAATTGAGAAGATACTGTGAATATAATTTTGAACTATTGTAAATACACAGAATAGAAATATTTGTTGGAACTTTGGATTTGTGCATATTGTGTTTCACACATAATGTGTGCCTGACCAGCTTATAATAAAGTGGTGGCTGCTGATGCCAAGCCCTTGTCTGGGGCAGATCTGCTTATCTGACATTCCCGGACTCCCAAAGAGTATGGAAAAGCCAGTTTAAATATTATGTAACTTATTTTTCTTGGGGGTGGGACTTCTAAATCACAAAATTCTCCAAAAAGAAAGGATGCTCAGGATCCTATTATTAAGGGGAAGGTGGGAGAGTGTTGGGATTCAGGATGTTGCTTTTCCCGTACCAGATACTGCCACCTGAGGCCAGCCAGTAGAGTCCGGCTCTCCTTGGCAGAGATAAACTTCCAGCTCTTTGGAAAAGGGCTGATCCTTTTAGTAAAAGAAATGACCAGGCCTATAGATTTTCTTTCTTTATGCTTGTAAATTTGGGAGGGGGAGGATGTGAATCTGTTAACTGCTCCCCTATGGCCACAAAGTTTGAGTTTGTAAAAAGAACAAAAAGGACCAATACAGCCCATTTTGTAAGGATTTTGAATGTTTTGTAAATGTATTGGTCCATGTGTTGTATTTTGTAGCCTTTCTAGTTCTCTTGGGCTTTAGTTCTCCCACTTCTTGTATGTATGCCTTCTGCAGTTAAACATTAAAGTCATGACAAGCAGCAAATGTCTCTTGTTCTCTGAACACCTTCCACATTACAGCTCATCAGAAAAGCAAAACATTTTTCATTTTATTTTTAAACTAACAGAAAAATAAGCACAATTTTAAAAGGACTTTTATTACATGAAGTCAAAATTGAGGCCCCACTCAAGGTTAATTCCAAAAAGTTCAGGATTCACAATACAGTACTTAGGAAACTATGGGGAATTGGGTAAGGTGAACACAGAACGTAGAATCTTATGGCTGGAAAGGACCTTAGAAGTCTTCAGTCCAAACCCCTCTTCAAGCAGGAAACCTTATACCATCCCAGTCAAAGAGGTCTATGGTCTATTTTTGAAAACCTCCAGTGATAGAGCAGGGGCTCAGTGGTGCCTCAGCTGGCCTTGTTGGCTGAAATCTGGGTTCAAGACCTGTGTATCACATGACAGGTTGAACTCTTGTCCTCCCCCAGCTCCTGCCAACCTAGCAGTTTGAAAATATGCAAATGTGAGTAGATAAATAGATACCATTTCGGTGGGAAGGTAACAGCTCTCTGTAACATGCTGGTCATATGACCATGGAAATATCTTCAGGCAGTGTTGGTTCAGGACTTGAAACAGAATAGCACTGCTCCCTAGAGTTGGCAACAAATAGTAAAATAAAATCTGCAGGGATTTCTTTTACCTTTTTTATCAGTGACCCAGATTGGAACCTGCAGTATTTTCCTGGTTTCCAAGTGGTATCCAATTGAAGCATGAACCAAATCTGAGCCGCCTTCTATAGTCATGCTCAGCTAATCAGATGAGCTCAAGTCTGGCTGACATTATGGTCATGTCCTTGTAGGTTTCTTGGCTATAATGCACAAATTGTATGCTGTTGCCTTGTTCTGGGATGTTGTTTGACTTTCCAGTATTCCTCACAAACCTAGCATGTTGTATATTCATTATTCAGAAAGAAGACCTGGCCTCTTTAGTGAAAGATTCCAAGCAAAAAGGCACAGGATTAATGTCAAAGTGCAAATGCCTTACATTACATTCTATGGTTACCATATATATGGTGTTCAATGGGAAATGTATGTATAAAGTTTCAGAAAGTGCATGGGCACCATTCACAAGAAACCGGATGTTCTTGGTGAAAATGACATTCTTCAGCCACACTTTTACAATTTCCCAAGCAGTTGCCTACCTGCTATAAAAATCATACCATTTTGCTTTGAAAATGCTTCGCTCATTGCAAGAGATGGGATACTTTATAGAAGCAGTTTACCCCAAGTAAACACGTCTTGTTGATTGCATTTGTTAAAATATTTGAAGGCAAATGAATATTAAAACAAAAAACAGGCACAGCGGTGGGAGGTTTGTTTTCAGCTGCTGAAGCTCATTCAGAATCAGGAGCATCTGGAGGGAATTTGCCAATAACTTGAACCAGTCTTAGTGTGTGTCGACTAGAAGACCCAAAACAAATAAATATTCAGGAGCTTTGAATTCCCAAAAGTAAAACAATTGGATACACCATTTCGGCACTGAAGAAACAAAACCAGCTCTGGTTTTCCCGTGCAAAGGTTAAACAATAGCTTTCCTTTCTCCCAACCCCTGGATGTTCACATTGTCCAATTATGGTATGGGAATGGGGCGTTGGTTCTTACCTGATACGCCCCTTCTCTGGACAAGTGGAGACAGCGGTCATGCATGGGTTAACTCAGTCAGTAACCAATAGAACTGAGTCTACCAAAGTGATGTCATCGCCTCTGAGGAGCATGCTCCCACTTTTCTTGATGGAGATTAGACTGCTGTGCGTGAACAATAGCTTTCCAGATTCAACACAACATGCTCCTAGAACACCCCTGCGAGGTAGGCCAGAATTCTAAGGGTGGGGATGACCGCTGTCTCCACCTGCCCAGAGAAGGGGGTTATCAGGTAAGAACCAACGCCCCATTCTCTTAAGTTGGTGGAGACAGCGGTCATGCATGGGACATACCAAAGCTGGTGTGTCCCTGGGAGGGAATGAAGAGCTAGAGGACGGAGGGACTTGCTGGAGCACTTGCCGTCCGAAAGCAGCATCCGCAGATGCATATTGATCTAT